GGTCAGTGATTCAGATCAGTGATTCAGATCAGTGATTCAGATCAGAGATTCAGTTAAGTAATTTAGGTCAGAGATTCAGATCAGAGATGAACAAGCGTCTGTTTCAGAGATTGCAATAATAAAAACATGCTTACTTGAGTTTTGCATTGTATTTAATTTTCTGCATCATTAATGTCAGTGAGCATTTATTGTTTGTTTGTTTTTTTTAAATCAGTGCTTCTTTTACATTGTATTGGTGGCCTTACAAATTGTAAGATTTTTACATGCAAAAAATGTCAAAAAAAATCCTAAACCTACTCAAACATCAAAAATGGATTATTACTACAAAACTGCAGACCCACCAATATGCACAAACATTGACATGACAAAGTCTGAAAATTTAAATTATTTTACGATGCAATTTATTGAAACAATATATTGTATAATTATAATTATTATAATTCTCTTAATTCCTAATCTTTTTTAAATTCCTATTTTCTTAATCTTAAGTTTTCAGATTTCATAAGTGACCCTGCAGCACATAAGCAGTGTTAAGTCAGTGTTAAGTCCAGATTTTCAAATAGTTGTATCTCAGCCAAATATTATCCGATCCTAACAAACCATACATCAATGGAAAGCTATTTATTCAGCTTTTAGCTGATGCATAAATCTCAATTTTAAAAAAATGGACCCTAATGACTGGTTTTGTGCTCCAGGGTCACATTTTATTTTTACTTCTTATTTTTATTCCTATCTATCAATATAATATATTCGTATCAAGCATTTCACTACACGTCGTACTGTGTATGTCTGCGTATGCAATGTTACCAATTAAACTTGAAACAATTTTTATAAATTAAAAAAAAAAAAAAGTACAGTGCAATTTTAGTTTAACCCTCTCGGCACTGTGATCATGTGTGTCTTTAAGTGTAAGTGAGCCTCATCTGGTGTGTTTTGTAGTTTTGTGCATGCTCTCGCGTTACCTTGAGAAGACTGATCCCGCTGCCCATGTTTGGGACGGTGAAATGTTCATCATCGTCGAAATGAATGTCCCCGAGGAACCAGGCATGAGCGAACTCTCGTCCCGCGCCGTCAAACCGCTGAGAGCAGCCTAGATGACGACCTGCAGGGGGCAGCAGAGGGTTCGGTGATGATCGCGCTAGGGGCCGTTCATTCATTTTTGCTTTGAAAAATTTTAATTATTTCAAATTATGTCTCTTATTTTAATGCTGTTAATGTTGAACTGACCTGTCCCGAAGCCCAGTCGGATGTCGATGTCCTCCAGAGGCGAGTGAGTGTCCTCCACGAACTGCAGCGGAGAGACTTCGCTCCACATGCGGAAGGCCAGTCTGAAGATGTACTTCTGCTCGTCAATGGACAGCTGACTGCTGTAACCTTCTCCCATCAGACGCCACTTCAGGAGGCTCTTAGAGAAGGCCATGTGTCCCGTCCAGGCGCTTGCGTCTCTCCTCCTCCTGCTCCTCAGAAGCGCCGCCAGGTGACGCTGTTTCCGCACATGAGGTTCAGTATTATTGGCTGCATCACTGGCATTCACTGCAGCATCAGTGTGAGTGTGTGTTGTGGTGCTGTTGGACTCGAACACTTGTTCGGGAGACTCTAGCTCCTCATCCCGGTCCGGGACGCCACACCTGGGTTTATTCATGGCTGCTTTGGTGGCGTCATCAAACACACCTGTGACGGGCAGACCGGACACCTGCTGGAACTCCTTCAGGGCCGAGATGAACCGGAGATCAGGGCTGCCGGATCTGGACACGGTTCCTCCCTCCTGAAGGTCCAGAGAGAGACTGACCTCCGTCTCACCCGCTGGGAACGAAGGCTCATCGCCGTCTGTGGCCTTTATGAAGCCGTACTTAGACAGAAACCGCTGGAGCAATGCAGAAACAGCCAGAGATCAATATGTTTGTCAAGAATCAACACCGAGTAGAATATACACTTGAATATAATTACATGATTTTACATGCATAAATGTAAATACAATTATAATATGGAATGGATGGACGGACGGACGGACGGACAGACAGATAGATATACCGACAGACAGACAGATAGATAGATTGACATACAGGCAGACAGACAGATAGACAGTAGACAGATGGATGGATGGATGGACAGATAGATAGACAGATATACAGTAGACAAACAGATAGATAGACAAATAGATAGATAGATAGACATACAGACAGACAGATAGACAGACGGACAGACGGACAGATAGATAGACAGATAGACAGTAGACAGACAGACAGACATACCAACAGATAGACAGATATACAGTAGACAGACAGATAGATATACAGTAGACAGACAGATGGATGGATGGATGGACGGACGGACGGACAGATAGATAGATAGATAGACATACAGACGGACAGATAGACGGACGGACGGACGGACGGACAGATAGATAGATAGATATACAGTAGACAGACAGACAGACAGACAGACAGATAGATAGATATACAGTAGACAGACAGATAGACAGATGACAGACAGATAGACAGATAGACAGTAGACGGACGGACGGATGGATGGATAGATGGATAGATAGATAGAGACCTGTGCAGTGTCGGTGTCGGTGATGAGT